CTTTCTCATTCCAGGACCTTAAATGGATTGAAATCGAAATACTAGTGTTCACCCATCAGGTATAGGTTTGTGATTTATTGTGGGGCAGGTCCCATTGTTTAAAAGCCCCTGCATTAGATTTAAACAAAAAACTACAAAGATGTTTGTTGCTATCACATAATATGCCAAGAAACACAGTTTGTGCATAGTTAGAAGAAAAACAAGAAAATCACTTCTTCAAAGTTATTTCCATGATTAAGATCTAAATCTGTGTCAATAAATTATACAAAGTCTGTCTGTATAAAGATAAAGTGTGAAATTTTTGGGTTATGACATAATAAAAGCTTAGTTGACAGTGATGACGTGTGTTTAATTTCAGAACTCGTACACACTCACACAGGCATCCATGAATGGAAAAAGCAGTGAGAGGTTTTTCTGGAAAATTAGGAAGGATGACAGTGGATCATAACAATGCTGCTGCTACTGCTGATGGCATCTGGCCACGACCCACCTTCAGTTAAACAAACACATGATGTAGGAGCAGATTACACACACATGCACGCACATGCTGTGAGAATTTGGACATACCAGTCATTCCAATAGGAAGCTTCTGTGTAGAAGCCAGAAGCACAGGGTGGTGGGTCCATGTTGTTACTTTAAAGCTGGGATGTCAAACTCATTTTACAGCATGGACCACATACAGCCCAGTTTGAGCTTAGAAAAGGGAAGTCCTCCAAACTATTTAGTTCAAGAGATATCTGAATATGAGAAAAAAGGTGCAAAAAGAGCATTTCTTATCCTACACATGAGAGAAATGCTGCTGTAGTAAATCAAAGAAATCTGTCAGCATGACCTTTTGGACTTTGATGGTAGGAAATAAATGTGTGAGTGAATGTCCTCTAATTACAAAACAGAGTTTTTGTTAATTCACAGAAAATGGCTTACAACTGGAACTTTTATGTTACTTAATTGTTCATCTAATAATACGAATAACCATGAAAGAGGTTTTTATTGCTGTGAAAAGCTGTAAACTTGTGAATATACGATTAATTGTCTAATATGTAGCTACTTCTCAGAGGAGTTTAACTTAGCACAAAGACGAACAGCTAGCCTCTTGTTTTCTTCAGTTTTGTACTCAATGCTAGAGACACAACATGTTAAGTGTTGCCTGTTTGCATCAGGATGCAGTTCCGTTATTCTATCAACACATTCTCATCCCAAAGCATAACATACTGACACTATGTGACAAATCGTCTGTATGTTACTCGTTCAGAAACATGAGAACCATTTGGAATGAATCTACACATGTACATTTATTTTACTTTCTCATCATGAATCGCTTTGGAAAACACAATCTAATACGACTGAGGTTAGGGATAAGGTTATGGTTAGGGTCAAGGCTGGAATCCAAGGCTGGAACGTGTGTTACTGCCGGGAGCATCATTCTATTGGACTCCATCCACAATCCATAGGGACGCAGAAGGTTACCTTTCACGTTCCTATGTGATGCCTCGGGACGTGACAAATCATCGGTATGTTATGCGTTGGGAATGAGAACAGTTTCATTCTATTATCAAACTAAGGTCAAAGTTCATTTCTGACCACAGAAACAGAGATAACAGGCTCACTCATGGCATATTAAATTCCTGATAATGGTAAATATTTAAGCCAGACTGAACAAGCAGCTGCTCCTAATGAAACACATTTTATCTAAATTGTTTGCAGACTCTGAAGTGTGTGGTGTTACTGGTTTTTAGACCTTGAAAAAAGACCTTGCGATGAACACACTAACACAAGAGGATGGATCACTAATGCTAGCTAGCTTGTTTAGGAAAGTGCTAATTAGAGACACTCAAATAAAACACTGGAATTTCTCGCACCACAACAGTACAAGCTATGTGATACTGGTTTAAAATGCTCCCCTGAATCTGTCTTTACTGTGGAAGGTTTTCACTGTGAGTGAATACACAAAGTTTATCAAAGTAAAACAATGGGGACCACAACAAAAATGGCAATAACAACAAACTTAATGAAACTGCCAGATTTTTAAAAAGATATTTTAAAGATGCCAACAAAGGCAAAGTTAAAGCTGTTGATTTGAGATGTGGTGCTTGCATTTGGAAGATTTTGCTGTGAACCGACAGCATACATTCAAAGGAGCTCTCGATGCAGGTGAAATAAGCTATCCTTAATCCTTAAGCTGTGAAAACTGAAAAAAGGAGTGGCAAAATCTACAATTTGGTTCATCCTGAGAAAGAAAGAAAGCACTGGTGAAGTCAACAATGCAGAAAGACCTGAGTGTCCACTGAAGACAACATTGGTGGATGATCACAGAGTCATTTCCTTGGTGATGAGAAACCCCTTAACAACATGCAACCAAGTGAACAACACTCTCCAGGAGGTAGGCGTATAGATAACCAAGTCTACCATAAAGAGAAGACTGCTTGAAAGTAAATACAGAGGGTTCACTGCAAGGTGCAAGATACTCATAAGCCTCAAGAATACAAAGGCTAGATTGGACTTTGCTAAAAGACATCTAAAAAAGCCAGCACAGTTCTGGGAAACATTCACTGGACAGATGAAATCAAGATCATCATCAGCAAGGCTCACAAACAAACAGCAACTGAAAGCCTCTGCAGTAAAGGCCTGGCAAGCATTAAAAAGGAGGAAACCCAGCATCTGGTGATGTCCATGAGTTCAAGACTTTAGGCTGTCATTGCCAGCAAAGGGTTTTCAAAGAAGCATAATAACAGTATTGAACATTTTATCTTCAGTTATTTCATTTGTCCAATTATTTTAGATCTCCTGAAATTAAGGGATTGTGTTAAAAAAAAGTGTTTTCCTCTAGCATTTATATGTGTTTGTTCAACCTGCTAAATTAAGGCTGAAAGTCTGCATTCAATTGCATCTGAGTATTTCATTCACTAATGTACAGAGCACTTTATTTTTAGTCGTTAAAGTGAGAGAAGATCCCATAACTTACTGCAGATTGGAGGTTGGAGGAAATTGTATAAATGGTATATGATCTCCCTTATAGTTCTTAGAAATAAAAACAAAATATGCAAAACAACCCAAACCTCCCCCCATCAGCCTATCTCTGATTATCACTACAAACACGTCGGAGATACCAGTCACGCTGAGTTGACTCCCTGCAGACAGCAAGAGGCTAAGTCGGGACCCCATCACTTAAAGCATGCTCAAGTCTGATAACACACAACTCTAAACCTCTATTTAAACAGGTAACATATACAGAAAAAATCCACACCCTGAAGGGTTAGGATGCAAAATTTAGCACAAGTATTTATTTTTGCTGCAGCTTAGCTTTTTACTTTGGGGTGTATGGGAACTGACTCACTTTTGGAATCAGCTTCAAGTCGTCCTTTTAAGGAACTGGGCACTGCCTACTGGGATGGCGCCAAGTACTACTGGGGCTGGGGTTTGGTACAGGGAGTATTACTCAATGAAAAGTCATTTATACAAACATATTACTAGATATGTAAAAAATACACATGAGTTGGTACATTTCAAAGGGTGATTCTTACACTTACATAGCACTCTTTTTTTAAGAGAAAGATTTTTGTGCTCGAGTGTGAGCAAAGGCGAAAACCTCAAGCTGCTAGCTTTGTGTTAGCATGCTGTATTTGCAGATGCATGCTAGCAGTAGCTGTCCTGTTGTCAGCAGTTGTTTCTGGCCTGGAAACTGTTTTAGCTGTTTTCCTGCACATTTTTTTACATTTCTATCAAGCCCTAATAATATCACTGCTAGCTTAGTAACTGTAATGTGATTACTCTGCAACACTGAGCACGAAGCACAAAAACCACCAGTACCAACCGCACAGCCACGTGTGGAAGATTTATTCCTACACTGTTGAGACGTGCAAAGCACATATGAGACATTGTTGCGCATTTCTTTTCTGCGTTTGATCCGTTTTTATTTTGCCATTTTATGTCTTCATCTATCAAAGACTAACATACCTCATATCTCATAGTCACCCAATAAAACACTCGAGGAAGCACACAGAAACATCTGGCTCTCCTTTTATTTTTACAGTTTATGGAAGCAGGATTAAAGGAGAAGATCAAAGTCATGTAACTTGAATATTAGAGTGCTAAAGATGGAAACCAATGATCATAAGACAGATGTTTTGTGACACGACAAAGTGATTGCGACGCAAAGCGATTAATTACTTCTATCGGGTATGTGGACAAAACATAATGTATGACAGCTGGCAGAGTTTATTAAATGTAGTTTAAGAGTGTAACTTTGTCGTGTCAGTATGAATAGATGCTTTGTTTTATGTAGGAGTGGTCTGAACTAGCTTCTCGCTCTGTGATCTGTCCAGCTTCACAGAGTTTGTAACTATACCTTTGAATTCTCATATGCACACAGGAGCATCGTGCTGAAATGTGCTTGTACTGGAAAGGAAGTGATGGAAATGTCATGAATGTTTGCGGTGGGATCCATGCACGCACCCTGGACTTACATGGAGCTTTCTGTCTCAAAGTTTGATTACTTTCTCTTACTCCCATCCTGTTTATCTCTCCTCTCCTCCTTCTCTCCTCAGTGTACACGAATGTGGAAATAGAGTCACTTTTGACACTGCTCAGTCCCTACAGTAGTATAGAACAATACTTTAATTATTTCCCCCACAACCAATTGTCACTTCCTCTCTTTTCTTTCCACCTCCATCCCATCACCCTTCCTCCCCGCTTCCCTCCAGCCTCCATCCTCTCCCTCCGCCATCTTGCCGCCACTTTGAACGAAGAGCAATGCGGCGAAACTATTTGGGGAATTCTCGCCGACCAAACCAATGCTGCCGTCTCTCTCCTCTCTGCGTGGAACAGCCGTACCCAAATAAGGCTGGGCGTTCTGACTAGACGTGAGAGGAAGAGACGCAACAGGCAGAGGGAGAGGGAGCTGCTGAAAGGCCATGCCCTTTTAAGGATGAAGTTTCCTTTTTTTTCCCTCTCACTCGCCCTCATTCTTGGCTTTCGTTGCTCCCTCCTTCCTCCGCCCTCTCTCACTCTCTCAGTAGAGGAGTGAAGTCATCTGGCCTCATCTGCTCCTTTTAAGCCGGCATTTTTGAGAGGGAGGTCCCTTGCCAAGCATATACAAACACTCAGTCAAGCATCCACACTCACGCCTTCACCAGCGGAGAACTCACCTATTGCTTCACACAGTGAGTATGCTTGTCTTTTTTTCCCTTGTAAAACTCCTGGAAGTGATGGTTGTCCGGTTGATGATGGTCAGATGCGGGGTGTTAAATTCATATCAAAAGGAATACATACAGAATATGACTAATTTCATCCTTCGGAGGTCAAAGAGGCTGTTTGCATGCAAAATCCAGGAGCAGATGGGAGCTCAAACATCCATATACACCAATGGTTTATGACGTATGCAGAGACTATCGGGTTTCCTAAAGATTTTTGCGCATTTGACTGAATTAAAGTTTGCCAATTTCGCCACGTGATTGAGTACAGCTGCTTATAATCGTCATTCTCTGATTAAAAACTGCTGTTTTCATACGGGAAGCCTGGTTGTACCGTTTTATATACATAACTTAAAACTTTGTGCAAATAAACTCACCGTTTAACTGTAATGCGGTGCATATCTTATTTGAGGGCTGATATTTTTTTTCCTTAAACTGAAAGGACATAAAAGCCAGACAGCATTTCATATATCTCCACATCTGCATAGTTTTATTTGTACAAGCAAATGATCCACTGCCATACATGAGCTTCTGAGGCGTAATGAGTTACAGAGCAGACACTTACAGCCACTTATATAATGAGGATACAGAGCTGTCCAAAGTTTCCATCTGTCTTTATGAATACATTATGAAGCTGCTGCCTGATGTGGAGCAGCGTTTGGAGAGAAGATAATGAGCAAATCATCAAAGATGGCAGCACACCCAGTGATTCCAGTAAAGCCAGCCAGCAGTAGCAGTGGGAAGGAGGAGGGGAAGGAGTACCAGTGGGTAGCTGAGTTTCTGAACCGCAGCAACAGGAGGAGATAACACTATCTGCGCTGCCAATCCAGCAGCAGCACATAAACACAGCAGAGGTTTATAGAAGCCAGGGACTGATCGCGTCTTTGTAAGAGCGCACAGTTGCTGTGAGCCAGAGAGCAATGCTCACATGACACAGTCACTAGAAGTGCATCAGCTCAGATGTACAACTGTTGTAAAGTTTGTCAGAATGATCAGAACTGCAAAGGGCTTTCAGAAAGTGGCAGGTCGGAGTAAACTTTTCTGTGCCCCTGGAATAAACTGGAAAAATAAAATAAAACCAGTACATCCCCCAAGCTGGGATGGCATCCTTCAGCCAGATGACTCAGCTGACAATGTCCGGCCCAAACTTCAGCAGATTTACGCCAAATCCTGACTCTCTAAAAAGCTGAGAAACAAAAGGATTAGAGCGTGCGCCGCTTGCACAAGCACCCCCACAGCTTATTCATACAAATCATTAGATGGCGGTTAGCTGGTTAACTGTAGAGGAGGCAAGGCTGTCCGATGCCACGTCCCCTCGGGCTGCCGCAGTTGCCACAGCCCTCAAACTGGTTTCCTGTTCTGGCATTAGGCACATTTGCCATGGTGATAGAGAAACAGACGGGGAAAACACAGGAGAGGGAGAGATGGATGGACTGAGGTGATGAAGTCACGACTGTGGGATAGAGCTCTTTGGGAGTTTTGAGAAGAGGTATTTGAGGCTC